CTGTCTCTATGTCTCTCTGTCTGTCTCTCTCTGTCTCTCTCCCTGTATGTCTGTATCTGTCTGTCTCCCTGTCTCCCTCTCTCTCTGTCTGTCTCCCTGTCTCTATGTCGCTGTCTCTCTCTGTCTCTCTCCCTGCCTCTGTGTGTGTGTCTCACTCACTGTTTCTCTGTCTCTCTCCCTGTCTCTCTGTGTGTGTGTCTCACTCACTGTTTCTCTGTCTCTCTCCCTATCTCTGTGTCTGTGTCTCACTCACTGTTTCTCTGTCTCTCTCCCTGTCTCTGTGTGTGTGTGTGTCACTCACTGTTTATCTGTTTCTCTCCCTGTCTCTGTGTGTGTGTGTCTCACTCACTGTTTCTCTGTCTCTCTCCCTGTCTCTGTGTGTGTGTGTCTCACTCACTGTTTCTCTGTCTCTCTCCCTGTCTGTGTGTGTGTGTCTCACTCACTGTTTCTCTGTCTCTCTCCCTGTCTCTGTGTGTGTGTCTCACTCACGGTTTCTCTGTCTCTCTCCCTGTCTCTCTGTGTGTGTGTGTTCCTGCCTCTCTCTGTCTCTCTCCCTGTCTCTGTGTGTGTGTGTCTCACTCACTGTTTCTCTGTCTCTCTCCCTGTCTCTCTGTGTGTGTTTCTCTGTCTCTCTCCCTGTCTCTGTGTGTGTGTGTCTCACTCACTGTTTCTCTGTCTCTCTCCCTGTCTCTGTGTGTGTGTTTCTCTGTCTCTCTCCCTGTCTCTCTGTGTGTGTGTCTCACTCACTGTTTCTCTGTCTCTCTCCCTGTCTCTCTGTGTGTGCGTCTCACTCACTGCACGGCATTTCTGCGTTGTATTGATTGGGGAGCGGTGGCGCAGCGGTTAGCGCGCCACCGCTGCGCTATGAACCCGGCGACCCGAGTTCGATTCCCGCTCACGGCCACCAGCACCAGTGACGATTATCCGAACCGTTCCTGGGCCTTGACCTAGATCGACTCAGCCCCAAATGAGTACCTGGTGCGGTGTGCAGTAAACATCGCCACTGGGGGAGACAAAGGCGGCCGGGCGTGGTGCTGGCCACCCACCCCCTCGTGTGCCGTGCCGGCCTTTATAGGTGCTCGCTAACAGCACTTGCCCCTACAGTCTGTTGAGGCTACACGGGGGATCTTTGTATTTTTGTTAACAACACATGTACAAGATGTATGTATATATATAGCTACATACATGCGTAACAAAGACAAAGATCCCCCGTGTAGCCTTTACACGGAATGTTGTGGCAAGTGCTGTTAGCGAGCACCTATGAAGGCCGAGAACGGCACACGAGGGGGTGGGTGGCCAGCACCACGCTCGGCCGCCTTTGTCTCCCCAGTGGCGATGTTTACTGCACACCGCACCAGGTACTCATTTGGGGCTGAGTCGATCTAGGTCAAGGCCCAGGAACGGTTCGGATAATCGTCACTGGTGCTGGTGGCCGTGAGCGGGAATCGAACTCGGGTCGCCGGGTTCGTAGGGCAGCGGTGAGCTAATCGCTGCGCCACCGCTCCCCAATCAACACAGAAGCGCCGTGCCGACTCTTGCCCCGACAGCACGTGTGAAGGCAACACGGGGAATATTTATCTGTTGCCTGATACTCAAACATTTCGTGTGTGTGTAGCAAGGACGTAGCCATGGCGTCAACATTAAGGGGGACCCCAGAAAAGAAAAATTGAAATTTGAAAACTCATTTCCTGCCTAAAAGAATAAAAAATTCACTAACACATAGGATGGACTTTTCATTTATTTTTACAATAATGTCTAATAGTTCTAGATTTGAAGCTTTCGTGACTGCAAGGATTCATACTCTTTGGTTTTTTCGGTAAAGTCACGTAGGTAAAACAATCCATAAAATATAAGAAAATAACTAAATTAAAACTAAAACAACTAACATTTTGTTGTTTTCATTTATTTTATTTTATTGATTGTTTTACCTACGTGACTTTACCTAAAAAACCAAAGGGTATGTCTAATAGTGTATTGTATTACACTGCTCTGTTTTTTCTTTTTTTACCTTTTCTTGTTTCATTGTATGTAATGGCAGAGATTAGGGATTATTAAAGTACAACCATAACCACAGTCATATAAACATACATCTACGCATTGTTATGTTGAAGACAAGTCCAGATATTGTGGCCAGGGTTGAGCAAATTGTTGTTTTTATTTACAAAGCACAGCAATTATTACTTATAAAAAATACTGTTTATAGCACTATCTTGGGGGGGGGGGGCATTTCGAGCATATTTGAATATTGGGGGGATTGTGTCCCCCTCAACATATATTATGATTACGGCCTTGGTATATATACATAATATACAAACCTGTCAACCCACGGGCTTTTCCTGTATTGTTGTCCAGGGAAATTGAGTTTTCAGGTCCGTACGGCGCACAGTCGTTATCAATACGGGCAACACACAATATGTTTTATTAATCATATTCGTTTGCGTTTCTCCCTTGTGATGGGACTTTGTCGGATGAACGTCCAGATTTATAAGCGCCGCAAGGTCTACAATCTTCTTGGTTCTTTCGGTAAAGTCATCACGTAGAAGGGAAGTAATAAAATAATAAAAATAAAACAATAAAATAATTCTCACGACGTTTCGGCCACAACGCAAGCAGCCGTCCTCAGGTGAAGAACAGATCTGTCGAGGCGACAGCGTTGTGGCCGAAACGTCGTGAGAATTATTTGATTATGTTTTATTTTTATTATTGTGTGTGTGCGTGTATCGTGAGTTATGCGCGGAGAGCAGTAGCCACGTATGTTGTGCACGTGTGTGCATGTACATGGATCAATACACGTGGGGATATACTCATACATGATTGTAGCGCAATGATTCGTGCGAATTCACGTCGGGCGCACAGGCAGACTCAGCTGAGCTCTGGATGCTTTGCTCCAACTCGGTAGCGTGTGCACGGTGTGTGCGTGTGCGCGTGTCGTTTGAATTTATATTGAAATATATGTTACGTAAATACGTTGCGTAAATAAGTTGCGTAAATACGTTGCGTAAATATGCTTTGTAAATATTTTGCGTAAATATGCTTTGTAAATATTTTGCGTAAATATGCTTTGTAAATATTTTGCGTAAATATTTTGCGTAAATAAGTTGCGTAAATAAGTTGCGTAAATAAGTTGCGTAAATAAGTTGCGTAAATATGATTTGTAAATATTTTGCGTAAATAAGTTGCGTAAATAAGTTGCGTAAATATGATTTGTAAATATTTTGCGTAAATATTTTGCGTAAATAAGTTGCGTAAATATGCTACGTAAATATTTTGCGTCTATGTTGCGTAAATAAGTTGCGTAAATATTTTGCGTAAATACGTTGCGTAAATAAGTTGCGTAAATAAGTTGCGTAAATATTTTGCGTAAATATTTTGCGTAAATAAGTTGCGTAAATAAGTTGCGTAAATATTTTGCGTAAATATTTTGCGTAAATAAGTTGCGTACATATGTGGGGAGCGGTGGCGCAGCGGTTCGTGTGCTGTGCTCGCTTAAATCTGTGCTGCGCTGGATTAAATAGGTCGACTCAGCCTCAAATGAGTAGTTGGTGCGGTGTGTAAACATCGCCCCGAGGGAGATGAAGGCGGCCAGGCGTGGTGGTGGCCACCCTCCCCCTCACTAACAGCACTTGCTCCAACACTCTGTTAAGGGTATACGGGAGTTCTTTGTATTTGTATCTGTGCGTGTATCCTTGTGTGTATATGTGTGTGTGTATCTGTGTGTATGCGTGTGTGTATGTGTGTATCTGTGTGTGTGTATCTGTGTGTGTATCCTTGTGTGTGTATGTGTATCTATGTGTATGTGTATCTGTGTTAATCTGTGTGTGTATGTGTATCTGTGTGTGTATGTGTATCTGTGTGTGTATGTGTATCTGTGTGTGTATTTGTGTGTATGTGTATCTGTGTGTATGTGTATCTGTGTGTATCTGTGTGTGTATGTGTATCTGTGTGTGTGTGTGTGTATCTGTGTGTGTATTTCTGTGTATCTGTGTTTATCTGTGTGTGTATCCTTGTGCGTATCCTTGTGTATATATGTATGTCTGTATCTGTGCGTATCTGTGTGTATATGTGTGTGTCTGTATCTGTGTATGTGTGTCTGTATCTGTGTGTGTCTGTATCTGTGTGTGTGTCTGTATATGTGTGTGTCTGTATCTGTGTGTGTGTGTCTGTATCTGTGTGTATCTGTGACTGTATCTATGTGTATCTGTGTGTGTCTGTATCTGTGTGTGTGTGTATGTGTGTATCTGTGTGTGTCTGTATCTGTGTGTGTATGTGTGTGTGTCTGTATCTGTGTGTGTGTGTCTGTATCTGTGTGTATCTGTGACTGTATCTATGTGTATCTGTGTGTGTCTGTATCTGTGTGTGTGTGTATGTGTGTATCTGTGTGTGTCTGTATCTGTGTGTGTATGTGTGTGTGTCTGTATCTGTGTGTGTGTGTCTGTATCTGTGTGTATCTGTGTGTGTTTGTATCTGTATCTGTGTGTGTATGTGTGTGTATCTGTGTGTGTCTGTATCTGTGTGTGTATCTGTGTGTGTGTCTGTATCTGTGTGTATGTATCTGTGTGTGTATCTGTGTGTGTATCTGTGTGTGTATCTGTATCTGTGTGTATCTGTGTGTGTCTGTATCTGTGTGTGTATCTGTGTGTGTATCTGTGTGTGTCTGTATCTGTGTGTGTGTAAATGGGGAGTGGTGGCGCAGTGGTGAGCGCACTGTGCGACGCACTCAGACGATTCTCTGAACCGGTCCCTGGGCTTAAACCTCCATGGACTCAGCCTCGACTGAGTAGCTGCTGCCAGGAGAGAGACAAAGACGTCCGGGCGTGGTGCTGGTCACCCACACGGTGCGCTGCTGCTACTTGCTACGAAAAGCACTTGCCCCAACACGTCCCTTAGAGGATAT